TTTGTTTAATTAAGGCGGCATTTCTAAGAAATTCGCTAAGAAGATGACAGCATGGGCGACAAGGGCCAAGGAACTTTCAGAACAGAAGGTTAGTTTCCATTCAACACTGTAATGCGACCCTGTACAAAAACTATAACGCCACCACATGGTTGAAACATCAGTATATTTAACGTTTGTTTTTTTAAACTTTTCGTTTTAGGCCTCAGCCTCTATGTTTGTGCATGGTATATTTAATGAAATCAAAACAACGTCTGATGAGGATATCAGTGACGATGATAGCGACGTAGAAGAAGAGTTTTTAGACATGTATTCTACAGGATTCATGGCAATGATGCCTATACTATTATCAAAAGACTTCCTGTATCCCCCATTTAAGGTGCTTTCTGACGCAGTAAGTCAAAATTACTGATGTTAGAAATGTACATAACCAAATTAGGCTGATATTTGAGAATTCGTGTAAATGCATTTGCATGCGTTGTGTACGTCGCATGTGACCCATAGCTATGGCGCTTTAATTCTTCGAAGATTAAAATTGAGCAAATCATACATCGGCCATTATTAGACATATATATTCCTAAAAGTATCTGCATCCTACCTTATTGGGAAATGTGAATACCAAATATGGAACAATTACGCGATATGTGTGAAAACGAAGTTCATAGCGAGAAGGTGGCACCAATGGGACGCCGCAAAGTATGCACTCAGGCAGCTCACATCGTCCTAGTACGCCACCCCGCGTCGGTCTATACTCATACACCGTGATACACGACTAGCTAATTATATATTCACATTCTTTCAGTATCCTGATTGGTTAGCTGAAAACAAAGATAAAGTTTCTGTGGGTGAATTTGAAAGATACAAACGACAATACGAGTCACTACAAAAGATATGCGAAGCGTACGAAAAAGAAGACGACTCATCATCCGATAGTATGGACAATATGTATGACATGATAGACTTGCTGGAAGCGGTAAGATAACATTTAATCATCAAAGTTTTTTTTCCATGGTGATACAGTGGGGATGTGAAACCAACATCATACTTCGAATTCATCGTTTCTATAAGTTACGCCCTCAAGCGACGGAGCGCTTCCATGACGTAAATGGGCGACGAGATCTGTAGTATGTCAATATAACCTGTTTTTTAATATACTAGTATGGCCTATATTCCAAATGACTAAAGAAACACAGTTATTCATTTGATTTGTTTTTCAAATATAGATTTCACCAATCCAGAGTACCAATTCCATTGATTTCATGTCGTAACTAGAAAACTATACTCCTTCCAGAATGGCTGTAACAAATGTAGCACCGCTCTATCGTACACTCGGATTGGGCCAAACTCGAACTCAGACTCGAATTATTTCACAGCTGTATTGACAAATTACATTTCTATATGGGCAGAAAATATAACAAAGAAATATAAACAATAACAAAAACAAAATCTAGAGTAGAGATAATTTAATTGCTGTTTCTCTCTGTTTTTTTTAATGATATGAATAACTTTTTTTTAACATTGTAATAATAATCTTATTTTAATATTTCAAAGTTCTGACACTAAGTGTAATATGTGTGCACTTAGTCAAAATGCAACAATGTCATGATCCAATGTTCTACTTATAATGTATATTTCAGCTTGAAGGCAATGGAGATCCACCCGAAGAATTACAAGCCAAACAAGCAACCGTCGAAATGAATCTACAACTCATTAACAAGACATTGCCACAGGACATTCAGAAAGACGGCACTAACTGCACCATATTGTAGCCAAGGCAACGAAATGAATTGACGTTTAATAAGCTGACCAATAGCTATATCATAGGGAAAACTGTCAGTTCAAAATGGAATCAAGTGATGTTAGACACGAATGACCGTCGAGATATTGTTGTAGCCCATGACTTGTTTTTTCCATTTTTCCCGTATTTGCGTCCACGGTTTACTTGACGCCATGACGGTAGAGACAAATCTCGTGACTCTCTCGCTCTTAACGAGATCTCGGCGGCCATTTTCGGCAAAGATTCAAATTTGTATGAACACTTATAATCAGCTCTTTCTGAATGGCGAACCCACAAGATCGTGGATACACTTATCCGTTCAGTGAACACAAATATAATAATATAATAAAGAGACAATTTTACCGTTTATTTTTCCCTGGAAATTACAATACAGGAAAAGCATTTACGATATTAATAGTTTTGCTTACTTATTCAAATTTGACGTATGAATAATTATTATTAATCATAGTTATAATTATTATTATTCGCCAACCAAGAACGCTAAAGTTACATTTATTTTGAATTTATCCAGAATGTTAATAAATAAATGATTCGTACATATGGTGATATGTTTAAATGAAAATAGAATAAATAAAATGGTGGATTTGATGTCGTACCCCGACATGTATATCACGTGACGTCACAACGGGTGACATTGTACTTTTTATTCCGCCCCTGCGCGCAGTGTTTGAGAAGCTTGGGAAAAGATGGATGACGACGAACTCGTTAGTTAACAAGTTGTTTAGGAATATCGTTTTAGTGTAGAATAATTTTCTCAGACATGAAATGCAACAATCTGTGTTTTTAAATATTTTACACGAGTTGTGTTCAGTTCCAAAGCAATGAATCAGTGAAACCCGCAACAATCTATTGCTATCTCTACTGAAGTAACGGTGGGCAGGTCATACTGCGACTTCTCTCGGGATCCTCTACTTGGCAACGTGAATACACTCCTGGCTGGACTTGTTGAGTGTTGTCCCAGATGATGACAGACATGTTCATAAAACTCCGATATGCGCGCAAAGCAATCTTGTTCAGACGCCCAACTTAAAACGACAGTCGTTTTTTTAAAATACGCAATATTTATGTTCATTTCGCAGTAAAGCAAATTTTCCATTGAAGGCATTATGTACCATCACATCGGCAGATGACACAGTTGCTAAGACGCGCGCACGTGTCGTTGAGATTCACGCGTAGCGCCCGGTGGGGAGGGGGGTACTTGCAAAAAATACTACTGACAGGGGTGTGTAGCTGGTTGTTTGAAACTCCTACCCCTTATCAGACAGAAATAATCTCAAATTGCATACCCGTTTCAGACAAACTGGATATTTGGCACCCCTTTCCAGACAGTAAGCATAAATGGTACCAAGGGAATAGCAGGTGGGCTTGAACTCTTCTGATCACTCAAGCTCTAAGGGCAGTCTTTGGAAAATACGAGCCCCTTTTCAGACAGAAATAATGAAAAAAATGATCCCCTTTTTCGGACAGACAGAGTAAAATAACATACCCCTTTTCAGACAGAAGTGGTGAATTTGTGACCCCTTTTGCGGCACATATACATATAGCACTTCAATGTGAGTACCACCACCCCCCCCCCGGCGGTAGCCGTAGCGCATTGACTAAGTTTGTTGTGCTGTTCAACGCGCGCAAACAAGAAACACTACAATGTTTAAAGCGCGGTGGTCGTCGCGCAGCGCGTGTTCGAATTTCATGTAAATAAACAATGTATTTTACACGCGTTGTATACGTTGCTATGAGTCCCATATCGAACAGAAGGTGGCATGACGACTGTCGCCTTTTAAACTATATGATTTCTGGAATGATTTTGAAAATTAAAATTCCGGCAACATGGATGTTTTGGTTTGATATTGCATGTTGGTGTTTGGATCATTACCATTACATACTATAATCCGGGGTCCCGAACGTCCTTGTCATTGCGAGGCACGTTGTGTATAGAAGCCTTGTATTCAATGTCGTATGGGTCACAAACCCGGCCCCCCACTCCCTATATTTAGGGGGGGGGTATGCTTGTTCCCTCATTTTTTTGACCCCCCCCCCATCTAGGGAAAAGAAGAAAATTTAACCCCCCTTTCACGGGCTTTTCCGATGAATTTCACCCCCTATCTAGGGAACTTTTCAGTCTAGAACTCCTTTTAAACCCCCTTTTTTTGTATATCTCGGGAAGTGTTTTGAAATACACCCCCTATTTTGAGAATCTCGGGAAAACAAGCAAAAAATACCCCCCTTTCTACGATTTTCTCGGGAAAATGTTCCAGAGACAGATCGTCAAAAAGTACCCCCTTTCCCGAGAAAATGGGAACGCGCATGCGGCCCCCTATGGATCCTGAGTGGGGGGGGGGTCACAAACGGGCCATCCCCGGTTCCAAGTGTCGCTGATCCGGTTAGTGGTGTAGCGAATTGTCAATACTTGGTTTTTATTGGCCATTAAATGTGAATTTGTAATGACGACGTCATCCCAGCAACACCACATTTCTTAATGGCGCACTCAAACGTTGTTGAAGGTCGGTCATCTGTACCCGTAACCTTAGTTTTACAGGGTGACTGTAATAGCTTTCAAACCGATCGTAAATTATCCGGCGTTTCGGATAAACACTCCGATTTGCATACATCTGAATAGGCAATGAGATATACTAGCATTGTAACTAGGCGTGCAGCTAGTGTAACGGCACATATATTCTATACTACCAACGGAGATAATCGTGTATAATCCAGTTTTAGATGAAAACACTATGTTTGCTATCGTATTTCAAATCCTGTTGTTTGTTATACATTTAACAGTACAGTCCAATACATGGTTTTTTTTTCGATTTTGTTAGCAACTTAAAACATCTTTTGACGTTCTTTCTCCGACAATGTATAATAGAGTTTATATAACAAAACAAACTACGAACAGAACAAAATGGCTGCTTGATGACGCGCCAAGACAAAATTACCACGTGACACTGGCGCTAGCAACTGACTGATTAGAAATGCTATGCCATTACTCGCACGTATGTAACAACCAGACGCTTTATTCGGGCACAATTTGAGTTCAGACAACGACGTCATTTTTTATTGACCAAGCAGCAGCGAGGTCACTACTTTAAATACAAAAGAAGCCAACACTACAATATTGCGGGAAACTCCTTACATGTCGTACTAACGACTTGATAATAGCCAGGTCGATAACATTCAAAAGGTTTCCTTATCGATCTATTCAGAGCCGGTGAGTTAAAACTGTGATCGAAGATCGTTGCTAGAACATAAAAAATAGCCGCACACAGTACGGCGTCTCTCGTGGTAGCAACAGGCATGACGACGGTTGCACGGTAATTTTGTAATAACGGGTATTCCATACAAGCTATAAAGCACAAGTCATTACGGAAGTTCAATCGGATGTAACTGTCGGATTTGTCTGAGCTACCCACGTAGTGTTTCTTTGTTACGTGAAAAGGACGACAAACACACAAGTACATTGGTTCAATTACATAATTTTAGTTGGAAGATTTAGATGAAAGTCAAAATAGCGTTCGACTACGAGTCAAGTTCAAACATTCCGGTACCACAGAAACGTCAGCGAAATAGAAGAGGTAATTGACAACAGTTTGGGGATGGAACCACCGGCAGGCTTCGAGAGACTATTAGAAAATCTAACAGTGGAGATTATCTCACAGGAGCCAACGAACGTGTATAAATTTGCTGCGGAATATCTAGACAGACTGATTGAGATTAGGACAGGTAAGTCGATGCATGACGTCATTGTTACGTCATTCATTATTTATGGTATATTTTCACTAAAATTATGAAATGTTAGATAAATCGTGATATAGAATGACTGGCGTTTTATGATGACACGTTCGTTTTCTAAATCTGTGACGCAAAACAACAATAAATATTTCCATTTCGACATGTTGTTATTTTTGTTTGGCACATTCAAAAAAACGATACAAATTAAGGCAGTTCTATCTACTGAGCATGTTACGGAACCTAAATGCAATGAATGTATCTGGGATTGCATTGCATATTGGGATACGTAGTTATCACTACATTATATCTCATTTTTTTAATGATTTCAGAATGTTAGATTTAATATCAATAAAAATGTACTAGTATAACTTTTTCATTCCAAGTTGACGAGCAAAGTTTTGATCATTTTCCATAAAATTTTGGACTTTTGTATCTCAATATAGATCATCCAGTGATCCACTGTTTTTCATTTTCGTTTTTCTGACAGAATATCTCGTAATAATGATAGTATAACGAACAAAACATATAATGTGTATTAATTCGGGTCAAAACTTCATAAAACAAATCTCCACACGAGCTAAAAGTCACATATAGAACGAACTCGACACTGTGTTGACGTACGCACTGTGTGTGACAATCACTTCATTATCTCCGTTTCAAACTCTTTTATTACTCCACTGTTAGTTCTTATTTTCTTTCTATTTCTTGTTTTATTGTACCTATTGTGAAAGTGATTTACGGTTTTAATATAAACCCAATGGACTCATCTCTGTTTACAAATCACGGATATCCAATAACAATAGTTAAAATGCGATCCCAATAATTGGATGACGTCGGTAAACGATTTGTTTTTCTCGTCACTGTATAGCAGTGCCCTCTAGAGTCTCTTCAATTAGTTCACTTACTAATAACTTTGACATATTTATACCGACTGCAATCAAATCACATCGGAGCAATGAAATAACAAAACTCGGCTGGGTCGTGTGTTTCATAACATTGTACAAAATGCCAAAAACTTTTTCTCTGACAATTGTACCCCCTATATAAACTTGTGCTGCGCTGTTAATTAAACTTGTGCTGCGCTGTTAATTAAAATTGAACTTGTTTCACATATAGATAAATCTATAAAAGGAATATACCACGTGATAAAATATACATGGTAATCACGTGGTGCCATTTCGTGTAACATGGTATATATACTATATGCAAATACTAGTAGATGGCAAAAACAACAAAAACGCATTTTT